TTCACAAGCAGTCTCCACTATTGATTTCCTGCTTGAAACAAAATCCCAAAAAAAAAAAAAGAGAGAGAGAGAGATCAGTTTACATGCTTTGGAGGTCTCTTCCAGTGGCATGGTATGATTTCTTTATATTTCCAGATGCGTATTGTTGATTTTTTGTCAGATCCTTTATTTCTTAATACTTTTTTCAGTTGCTTGAAGATTATTGGCAGGTAAAATATGTTGGGAGTCTGAAGACTCTTTGTCACGGCTTTGATCCTTCGCTGGTAATGCATGTCACATAATCAAAGTTTTTTATTATTACGAATTTCACTGATTTGGTTAGTGTTTCGAACTCGGCTTGAACCAACATGGTATTTATCATGGATTGTAAAAGATACCTGGAGGTGCTCTGATATGGAAGAACTAGTGTGATTTTTACAGGATATCCTGACTGAAAGGCGTTCTGGATTTGTTTTTTATTAAATGAAACTTGATTAGGAAATCATTTTTGTTCTTGAATTTCAGGATTAAGTACATTGGCCATGCTCTATTACAGTCGAGATTTGATAACAGATGGTGGTAAAACATCTATGGCTGGAGAATTCCAGATTTCTTGCTGCCTGCCCAAAAAGAATCTGCAATCATCAGGAGAGCAAGGCAAGACATTAGGATCAAGATATGATATACCTGCATTGAAGATCAAGTTCATAGATGTGGCAGTTCCTTTTGTAATAAGAAACAGGAGCATTTGGGGTATTAACTTGTAGCTGGATTGCCATTAGCCTGCGCAACTTATAAATGTAAAGTCCATCGAGGCTTGAAACTGAAGTCTTTCTTTATTATTAAATGACGTTTAATATTTTATAATTTTACACTTGCATTCCTATTACCAGCACGTGCGGTGCAAGCCTTTTGTCTAATTGACTCCATTATGAAAATGAGACATGAACGAGTTGGTCAGAGTGATACAAATAGATTTTTCTCCAAGGTTACGTGGCGGAAAATGGGTAATGCATACCAAGTGTCGAACATGCAATCTACACATGTTCTTTCCTCATTTAGCAACTCCTAAAATGGAAATCGCAAAGCTGTGACTGAAATGGCTCAGGCAACATTCACTGCAGACGATGAAAAGGTTGTAGATTTTAGACTACCGAGTGGCGAAAATGTGCTGACCTATGCTTCAAACTAAATAACTGGATACGAATCTGACTTCAACAATAAGAGATAAGAAATTTCTTCACTTTCCATAAAAAATAGATACTTCGTCGCAGCTCAGGGTCCGCATTAATGACATTACATTTTAGCAAAGAAAATACTTTAAATTTTAGCAAACAAAGAAATGGCAACACGTCATAGCAGCATTTAAGAAAAAATTTAGAGATCCACATTTGTAAATAACCCAGAAATGGCTCACGTGGATTACGTCGTCGCCGGAGATGACAGGCTTATTTGTCACCGATTTTCGATAATTGTCGCCGAACGATAATGTTGTGGGAGCTTTCAGGGTTTTCCAATTGTGGGGAAACACTAATTGGATTTTTCCTCCTTTTGTTTTGTTTTTTGTTATAAACTTGCCGCGTGTTCTATTTAAATAGAATCATGCTACATGTATGTTGACAACATTTGTTGACATCATCTTATTTGGCGTCATCATATCTATCCATTTTAAAAAATTATTTTCTACATCACATACTAGGATTTTGATAACACATGGTGTTAACCATTGTTGTCAAAGAATTCGGTACACTTGGATTAATTCATTTAAATATTACCCGTAGGATCCATGTGAAGTCTGTACATTAAGCATTATTCTAAAATCAATGACAAAATTGTAAGATTATGCTACTTGTACATAAAAATGGTATATAATGGATTACATAAAATGATGTAAAGGAAAATGATTGGATGAAAAAGTTAACTGTTTTTTAAATTGACAAATGATAGAATGACATGTGACATTATGTAACTCATTATGTAAAGTTTGATGTACTGTGAACCAAGATATAAGTATAACAAAATTGATAAAATAATTACTTAAATGAGAATTTTACGCTTTTAGCTAAATTAATCTGCTAGTACAGTGGAATTTATTTATTTTTGATTTTGCTGGAATGAAAAATAAGGAGAGATCTGAATGAAGTTATATTTAGCCATCTAGATATGATTAAAAGTAACCATTCTGGAAAGGCTATTGCTTAGAAACCAACAAAAATTTCAATTTTTTCCTCACTTTATATTATTTTATTTTATATTAAATATGGTACATAATACAGTTCATTGTTGATACGTTAACCGGCTTTAAATACGCAATATTTTTTTTTCTTAAGTGGTAATTGATGATGCAATGCATGATGATTAGGTAAACTAAAGATAGTTGAAAAAAAGATTATTTTATTTGAAATATAATGCAAATAAAGTGGAAAAAAGCAACAAATGGGTCCATGATATTATTTTGACATGTAATGTATCAATATTTCATCATCTTTTCCATATCCTAATAATTTATAATAGGGAACAATACATAAATAAGGTATTTACTTTACACATTTTCAAAAATACAAAAACAAGTTTGAAAATTCGCAAATCAGGTTTTTTAAAATTTTAATTAATAATTAATGAATTATTAAATCAATTTATTATTAAATATTTAATTCTAATTTAATATAATTAC